AAAAAATTTTTTCAATAACCATTTTATCAAACCAATTTAATAATATCATCATCATCATCATCATCATTATTATTATTTAGTTACACTGACATGTTACCTATTGGAGGAATCAAAGCCGAAGAATTTGATCATTTCACAGAATTTATTGTTTGTGATGAATTGTGTCGTTGTGGGTCTGGTGGTGTTCTTTCTTATATCGGTAGCGGTAGGTATTGTGGTGATAAAATGGAAACTTTATCATGATAGGTTTTAATTAGTCAATTCATATTCGTTTAATATATGTTTATAAGGATTGAGTATCGGGCTTCCGCCAATTTTGAATTTTGGAAGTGAGGAACTTAAGAGGAGAATCGCACCAGAATGCCTTAATGGACAAAAGATTATTTGTCTTGCTGTTTCAGAACCTCACACAGGATCTGATGTAACAAATCTCGAAACTAAGGCGATGTTAACTGATGATGGAAATTATTACATAGTAAATGGAGAGAAAAAATGGATAACCAATGGTATGTCTGCTGATTATTTTACCACAGCAGTTCGTACTAGTAGAGGAATTTCTCTTCTTTTAATTGAAAGAACCATGCCAGGTATTAAAACACGTGAAATGCAATGTTCTGGTGTATGGTCATCAGGCATTGCTTATGTCACATTTGAAGACGTAAAGGTTCCAAGAAATAACATCATTGGCGAAGAAAATCATGGATTCAAGGTATTTAAAAATCTTATGAAATACACACACACACACACACACACACACACATACATTTAATTAATTAATTTTTATTTATTTTATTTAGTATCTTATGCACAACTTTAATCATGAACGTATGGGTATTGCTATACAAGCTACAAGATTTGCACGTGTTTGCTATGAAGAGGCAATGAAATACGCACACAAACGTAAAACTTTTGGACAAAAACTTATTAATCATGCAGTAATCCGTAATAAACTTGCACACATGGCAAGACAAATAGAAGCCACACATGCTTGGATCGAAAGTTTACTTTATCAAAAAAATCAATTACCAAGTGATAAAACAATGGAAAGACTTGGAGGACCAATTGCTTTATTGAAAGCTCAATCAACACAAACGTTTGAATATTGTGCTCGTGAAGCAGCACAAATTTTTGGTGGTTTATCATATACTCGTGGAGGGTATGTATAGACCATTTTTTTAAATATTATTTATTGTCCTATATTTGAATATTAATAATTTTTGGGGATCAGTCAAGGGGAAAAGGTTGAACGACTTTATCGTGAAGTGCGTGCGTACGCTATTCAGGGTGGCTCAGAAGAAATTATGCTTGATTTTGGAGTTAGACATTCTTTAAAAGTTGCAAATTTGTATGGTGCCAAACTTTAAAAAATTAGGTTTTTATACACGTATTGCTAATTTTATGCAGTATTAGTATGCAGCAATAGCACGAAATTTTTTTGTTTTTTGAGTCATAGTTTTATGTTTATTTATTTTCTAAGTAAATAGTGGTATGCTTAAAAATCTGATACAAGGGAAGAAATTGCATAAAAAACCATAGTTCATTGTTATATTAGTATTAGTATTAAATAAATAAATGTTCATATATATATATATATATATATTCGTAAATGTTTGAATAAAAAACATTTTCACTTGATATCAACAATGCATAATGAATTATATTCAATTCAATTGTGTGATTTCCAATCTAGATTCAAATATAATAGCATCTTGCAATAGTGGTAATCTGCCATCCATTGAAAATTATCTTGCAGAATGGGAAAAAATGTCTATTGGATGTTTTAATGATGGAAATAAAATTAATGAAGCTGTTATTAGACTGGTTGGAAACGGAAAGATTACGAATGGAAAGGTAGAAAATAGATTATTGATAGAGTACTTAATTATTCACAATATTTTGATAAATATCTTGAGACAAAGCACAAAGCGAGATTAGATTGCCATAAACAAAATGGAACTGGGCTGTTTTACAAGTGCTGGATAGACTATTATTAATAAAATTTTGAATTGAATGTCTTCATACCCTCGTTTGATACTCTTGCTGTGTAGCAATTGCCACCAAATTTGATATATAACTTCTTTGTCATATGTATCTGCTTTAAAAAATTTTTTGAAGCAAGTTGTTAATAAAACCGAAAATAATCTCAGCCTTAAAGTCAAATTTTGACTTTGTATTCATATATATAGAGAGTGCGTACAAAGATAAATTAAATGCCTATATATTATTATTATAAATATTTACAGAATCGTGTTCACTTTGCTTTCTAAGGTATGTCTTTATATTATCATTTATTTTAAACAAAGTATGGTTTATACTAATATTAATATATGAAAAATTTTTTTTTTAAATAATTGTGGAGACCAAACATTTCATAGTAAAACTTTATTATGGTGTGAAAAATTACAGATAGAAAGGCATTGTATGAGTTTAATAGATTTGGTGATAATAAAAATTGAAATATCAAAGGGTAACTAATCTCAATTCATGAATCCCAAATTTTTTTTAAAAAAAACATCATTGTTGTTGAAAAAAATACCAATGTGAGTTGATTTTCATTTTTAAAAAAATTCAGTAACAGAGTTGGTATAATTGTTACTGACTGCCCATACCTTCTGGAGCCTTCTGGTCAAGATCCTGAAGAAACAGACACAAAAGAATTTTAAAGTAATCTAATAATAATTATTATTTGTTTTATTTAATTTCATTTCAATATACTAATTTTTAAATTTCTATCAATTTAGAGAAATATTTTTTATTTTTTATTTTATATGTTTAACATTTATCCTTTATAAATTATTATATTATTCCATTACTCCATATCCCACCAATACCATTAATCCACCATCACCATTCGCTTTTAAAATTCCAAAACAAAAAAATGTAAAGCAAAACATAATAAAAAAAATAAATCTTAAAAAATAACCATTAGCTCTTTAGATATAGTGCAAGTCACTTAGTCGCTGAACTTTTTATTGGCTGTGTAGATCCTATATCCTCTCCAAAAATGGAAATGTA